ATCATGCGTTTCGGCTTCTTTGTATTCTGATTCAGCACCTCCTTCTAGCCAACTGTTGTTTTGGTGAGAGTAGTTCTGCGGGGCTGTCTGAATGGGTTCTTTGCTTCTGATCTTTCTTGGTTGTTCGACTCGGTAGTTTTGACTATGGTCCCTTCTACTTTCTCTGTTGTGACTTCCACTTGGTCCAAGTCTCTCGAAAGCGAACTTCCTTTGATTTTGATCTTCCTTCCTATGAGATGTTGACATGGCAGGTAGTCTTGAGCGGGTCCTTCCGTCGTGCGTCCTTAGGGCTGCTGACCGGAGAAGGTCCCGGAGTTGTTCCTGTTTTTCGCTAGGATGTGATGTTGCTTCAAGTTCTTCTAGTGCTTCTCGGATCCTATTGTAGGGTGTATTTGCCACGCGTCTTTCTTCGACTTCTTGTTCTGATTTTCTTCTATTGTACTCAGCCAGATCTGACTCATATCTGATCCAAGCTTCCTTGCGCTGCCTAGCACGGCATTAGCGTCCTTGTTTCAATTTGTTTCTTCTTTCTCTGGCATGCTTCTGATTCTCGGTCTCACCATCGTGCCCCTGGATAAAGGGTGATATGTTGGACTCAGATTCATCCGAAGACCTGATGTCGAGTGCTTCTAGGGGGACCAATGGTGATCGAGGACGGCGAACCATGAATACTTCTCGTGCGTGAATTGTTCTGTTATCGGCGTTGGTTTCCACACTGTCGGAGTTGTTGATAACTTTAGTAGAGGCTTTAAGGTCGCAGATCGAGTCTCCTTCTTGGTAGGGTAGAATTGTTGTTGTCGTCATGCCGACTAGTCAGTTACCGCTATCCTCAGGAACAGAACTTGGCCAGTGGACGATGTAGTCTTGAGATGTTATAGTTAGTATGAGACCTTCCTGAGCTCCTTTCAGTGGCATTCTGAGCACCGGATCGAGGGGCCCTTCGAGCCATGCCTGATAAGATTTTGCCATGTTGTGGAGTCTGAATGGAAAATGATCTGACTTCTTGAAAAGACTCTGAGTGTACTCTGAGTTGTATTCTTGATAGGCCGAGGCCGCGTTCTGGAGTCCCATCGGAAAAGAACTCGGTTTCTCGAAAGAACTCGGATAAGACTCCATCTCGGATGCGGAGCCTGAGTTTGAATCGGATGCGCAAAGCCGTGAACTCTGAGTTGGATCAGACATCACGAGCTACGCGAATCTTCCGGCGAGTTGATCAGTCATAGTCGCCGAAATAGAAAGGTCTTCATGGTGATCTGAATCTTTGAGGAGACGGCTTTGGAGCTTGCCATTGTCGCCTGCCTCGCAGATCCATAAACCGAAGATGAAGGTTGATCCTGTTGAGAAGATCATGTTGTCGAGGTCCGTCGAGCTCTCGGATGCAAATTCGTCGAAAGCCCCTACCTGGCGCGCCAGCTGTCGATGTTTGACCACCGATAGCCTGCCACAGGGGTACCCAGGGCAGTTTGTTCGGGCTTCAGCGTATGCAGAACTCGACGGTTAACGCAAAAGACAGTCGACTTATCCTAGTTCGGACCCTCGATCGCGATCGAGTAATAGCCCTACGTCTAGTCGGCGTTAGCCTCTGCGTTGGATTGATCATCTGAAGAGTCTCCCGTCTCCAGGAACCCTGCCCTCCTTTATATAGTCAGGAGGCCAGAGTCCTAGTCGGTTTACAATGAGAGTTCCTAGTAGAATTACAGAATAATACTACTACTAAGATTACATGGGAAGAATCCTAGTTAGACTAGATCTTCTCCCTTCCTTGCGGGTATCCCGTGGGTCCCGCATCGACAACAGCTCACCGAACACCATGATTTGTCCGTTGAGGAAAACATGGCACTGCTCAGCCCCTCCATTTTATCAAAAAACGCGTGAGGGAGGACGATTACAAGATGAACTGATCCCTCGACCGAACCCTTGCTGCGCGTAGGGGCTCGAGAGTTGGACTCGCAAGGAGACCGAATACGCAGTCGCATACCAATAGCGGATCGGTCGGATCCGAAGGGAGGAATCAGAATCAAGAGAGATCTTTTATGATTCCCCGAATCCCGCAGCTACAAGCTCTCAAGGAGTCCAAACACGATGGAAAGGAATCTCAACCATACCAAGACATCTCGCTGCCCGCAAAGGGAGATCAAGATCCTTAGAATCCTTTCATCCAAAAAAGCCTTCGAAGGAGTATCCTACTCCTCCGTAGGCTCGGAGCTATTGTAGGGTATCAGTATCAGGGATACCCAGAACAAGGAAGCTAATGGCCACGAACGTTAACTCCCTCGGATGGTCAAGAGCATATCTTGGTCTCGCCTAGCCCCGAGGGCATGGGCTCCGCCTCGCCCGACCTCAAGGACATAGGATCCGGGTCACCCAACCTCAAGGGCGCGGGCGCTGTCTCACCTGACCCCTTGGGCGAGAGTCCCGTCACATCCAACCCCGAGGGCGAGGGGTCCGCCTCGCCCGACCCTGAGGGCACCGGCTCCGCCTCGCCCGACCCTGAGGGTGCGGGCTTCGCCTCCCCCGACCCCGAGGGCGCAGGCTCCACTTCGCCCGACGGAGGTCCGTACTGCCCCCAACCACTACAGGGCTAAAAGTACGAGTCCAGGGTCAGACTTCTGACGCCAAAAGGGGAGCAGGCACGTCTTGACGTGACCCACGACCATGACGGGCCACATCTGAGGATGCACGTCGCCAACAGCATCGGGCATGCCGGCGCTGTGCTACCTACTTCCCGTACGGCCTCCAGCGAAGGCTTCAACTAGCCATACCGTCCGCTAGGACGGAATGGAGCGCCACGACCAGCTGACGACTCCCGCATACAGTGCCAGTGACGAACAGGGCCGTGACGTGGAGCCATCCCCGTCGTCATCTACACGGCCGGCAGGACCCACGTAAAGGAGATGGAAGACGTCGCAATCCCAGAAGCCTTCCTTTCCTCGTCTCTCTCTCTCCCTCTCTCTGATGTAACCTGCATCTTCCCCTTTATCTATAAAAGGGGAAGCAAGGCACCCCACAGGAGGGAGGGGCATTGCCACACATCTAACACGTCTGAGCGGTTGAAGGCTTAGGTTGTCGACAGTAGAGAGAAAGCTCAACCAGACTCACTCTTTTCACTAGAGACTTGGGACCTTCTCTCTCTCGCCTGTTTGTAACCCCTACTACAAACCAAGTGCCAGTAACACGAGCAGCAACAGACTGGACGTAGGGATGTTCTGTCCGAACCAGTATAAATCCTTGTGTCCTCCAAGCACAGTCATCCGGGTCAGACGCGCAAACTAGAAATTTACTAGCCGGTGATTCAAAACACTGACAGTTGACACGCTAGGTAGGGGGCTTTTACGCGTCTCGTCGTCCACAACAGGCCACAGATGGCTAGCCACAGCGTTAGCTGGGTCCCGGACGAGCACGTGCGCTTTGGGAGCCTAGACTTCATCGTCACCACGGAGGGGGAGCTAGCGTGGGCTACTGCCCCATCCAACTTCTTCGCTCCACCAGCCTCGACGCAACCGTCGAAGCCCTCGAGAAGCTGCAGCTGCGCGCACCAGAGGCCCATGTCCCCGGGAGCGACCAGCTCCTCGGCTTCGACTACGGGAGGCTGGAGCGCCAGCTCGACACCTTCCTAGGATCCCGACCGTCCCGGAAGGATGTGCGCTACCTCGCCTTCTCCTTCGCCAATGTCATGAAGCAGCTTGCCGGAGGGGAGCCGCTCTCCCCGGAATATCTCACCCGAGACGTCCCGACAGCGTTCCCGTTCGGTCTGCGCAATGCCGCAAGGACCGTTGGTCACCTCGCGGTACAGCGCATGTACCCGCTCCCACGGATGACGAATTCGTGGGAATGGTCGATTACGTCGCGGAGTCTTTCCACGACCTTCTCGCGTCAGAGTCGATCTCCGACTCTGACTCCAGTAGGGGGAGCCATCACCCTCGCGAGAATGTTTTATGGTAGGAACCCCCGAGGGACGCATCGAAAGCGTCCATGTGGGAGGAGCTACCCCACCAAACGACTTCGACAACGAAGTCGAAGAAGATGTGGGGGCCCTTCCCAGCATGCAGGTGGAACAGCTAAGGGCGTGGCATAAGGAGCTCGAGGATGCGCGACTCCAGCTGGAGCAGGAGCGCGCGGAGCTCGAACGCGAGATCGAAGCCTCGCGGGGATGGTGGCCGTGCACGCGCCATCACCCGCGACGTAAACCGGAGGATCGTCAAGGACGACGGAGGCCTCCCGCACTTCGCCAGGGCAAGTCAGAATATAGCTACTGCGGCGGCCCTACTCCGAAGGTTCCCGGAGCCCACGACACCCGAAGACCGTCGAGCCCACCGCGAGATCCACACGCTACTCGAGCGCGCAGCGGTGCAACAGACGGAAAGCTCGTTGTCTCGGCGACGCGAGCTCGATGCCAGTCAGCATGTCTTCGAGACGACATGGCACGGTCATACGGGTCAGACACGCAAACTAGAAATTTACTAGCCAGTGATTCGAAACACCAACAATACTAAATGAAATTACCACATCTTAAGGCATTGGGTTCACAGGACTAAATGAACTATAAGAATAGTGTAGGAAATTTCTCTTTAGCTGCTGTTTTGATTTAAAAAACTTACAGGGAACTCCGGATAACAATGCTACGTCTTTTCTCTCGCCTATCCTAATGAACGTTAACTGCTACAGATCAATATGACGCTGAGAGTCAACGCTGCATTCGGCTAGAGACCGCAGTTGTTAAATTGAATCCATTACACAAGGCAACTAAACAAATGACACTCAGTTAAACCCCAACAAATAACGCCAGCAACTGATTTCACTACCATTGCCGCTCCCTTAGCAAAACCAAACAGCACCTTAGTAGATGTCACTAAGCTCAAGCAATGTGCACGTTTACAAAAGCATTGCCAGGGCATGCTAAACAGCCATAATAAACAACAAAATCCTCAACAAGTACATATCATGGGAAGGTAGTAAAACAGCAAATTTCACTCTTCTCTCCCATTAAAAGACAGCTGGATCTAATCGCCCTTGCGACGGAAGGAGCACCCCTCAGTGAGCCTGGCCTTCCCACCAGTAGGTTGGCAGAGAACAGTTTGGCAGCCTGGGCACACAACCACAGTCTGGGAGTGGCTGAACACAGTGGTTCTGCAATCACAAAAACTTTGTAAGATACAGCAAACATTTGATTTGTTCAGCATGCTGATATCACAAAAGCTATACAACCATAATAACCTTTCAACAAAGGATAAGGTTTAAAGATCACAGATAATTGCAGTAAAGCTTAGTGGTCACACGTAAATTAGAACTCGTACACAACATGATCAAACCAGCTACACTTGCAAAATTGCAGCAAATAAAGCAGCGAGGTGTAACGTTGCGCAATCTAAATTAACCCACATTTAAACAGAACAATTGTACTCGTACTGGTCAGGTGAGAAACAAACAAAAACAGGAGTCAAACATTAACTGTTTCCATCTCCATCTATAGACAATTTTGTTGTCCTACGTATTCAGGAAGTGAGAATTGCATTCTTTTGGGGACAGAGGGGGTATGAAATTTTAAGAAATCAAGATACAACCTTATAACTGAACCAAGAATTTTCATATTTTAACTAGCTAGTAGTAATCACAACCCTACTAGTAAACTGAGCATGCTAAACTGTCAATGGAAAACCAGTAACACAAGATTCGGAGATCACAGCAGCAATCAACAATGGATAAATGGAATGACACAGCGTCTATATCAATTGCATTTGTAGTAACCAAAAACAAAAAAGGAGCAAGGATCATGAACACTTACATGCTGAAACAGCCCTGGCACTTGACATCCTGCACACAAAAAAACATGTTTAGAGTCAGTCTCCAATCAGGCACAAGAGCAGACACGACTAATATTAATATTGATATAAGTCGATACATGTAACTTTAAGATTCATTTTCATTTCTGTTTTCACATTTTAGCTCTCTTATAAACACAACTTATTTGATGATGAATTATGCATAACCTATAGCATCCAGCTTGACTACATGTATGTTACATGGCAAACAAGAGCAGTTAAGCTGTCTTGTTGCTTTGTTGGAAGTAATTTTTGATGTAGTTATCGGTACTCAGCCTGTTCGTTGGTTGGTTTCTGGGCGGATAACCCCGACTGGTGCTGGTTTGTTTTGAGAGAAAAATACTTTACCATGGCTGATAAGCCCTGGCTGAACCAACATGCGAACAGGCTAGTAAATCCAATTTCTAGACTCTTCCAAACCAAATCACCCTATTAGGTTCAGGTTTTTATTTTGCCAAAACTAAATTCCAATGATACATTCGTTGGGTCTCTTTAGGGCATGATTTGCAACACCCCATCACGCAGAATTAGAAAAGGGCATGAACAGGTATACCATGAAGAAGGAGTTGGGAGACTGGACGAGGCGCTTCTTCTTGTGCTTTAGTTTCTCAAGCTCTGCCGGCGGGTTGAGCAAGTCGATGTCGTTCTGCAGCACCTGCTCCGATTTCCAAGAAAGCACGCGTAATATCATTAGATCGAAGAGCAACCAGCAAAACCGAAATGAATATGCGGATCGGAACAGGGAGCGTACCATCTTGGAGATGCGGTCGCCTTGGGCGTTCCTGGCCTGCGCCTGTTATGGAGGAAGGGAGACAGAGAGAGCGAAGGCGAGCGCGTGGTAGCGGCGGGGAGGAAGACGAGAGCGGAGGGTGGGATACTTTATATAGGTGTGGCCGTGTTGGGTGGCGAATCTGAGGCGTTCATCAAGGTGCTGCGTTCATCTCGGCCTTCCGTGGGATTGGGCAGTCGGACAGAGATGGTGTTCGTGGAGGCCCAAGACCAACAAACCAAGTAGGCCTTTGCCCTTGGGCTGCAAGCCTACAACACTTTCATGAGTCATGACACTGGTCTCTGGGCCCCACGAGCGAACTGGCCGTGAACCCTAATCCAGCTACAAAACAACTCTTTGGCTCAGGTCCCTCCCCGCCTCCTCCGTCGCGCTCGATTCGAATCCCAGCTCCCCCTATCTTGCGGCTGCCGCTGCCGCTGCAATGGAGGACACGGCGGCTGAAGAGTCAGGTTGTGTAAATTGTTACTGATGAAATTATCAGGTCCTGTGTGCTTAGTTTTATATCATTGAATCCTGAATTCACATGTTCCATTGAGAAGTGGAGCACCTATTCTTTGCATTTCAGTTGATGGAAATTTTACTCTGTTCCCCCAGGGCTGGTCATTCAGTTTCATTGTCAGATGATTGTGGTGACCGTTCTCATTCAGATACTATAAGAGCTATAAGAGCTATTTGCTTCTGTGTGAGTGGAGCTTTGTTTGTGAAGGTTTGGAAGACTGATTCGTGGCGTTGCATCTGGACTATGTAAGCCACTCTCTGCTCTTCTGTTCTCATTGCGAATAACAAAATTGGCACCAAAACAATGGCCTTTAAGTTTGCAGTATCTGTATTCTTGGACTCTGTTCCATTGCAAACATTATTTGACTAAAAAGCCATATTCATTAAATAGTTCTGTCCATGAATTTCGCACTTTTGAGAATGTACTTTGAATAAGAATTTGTTGCAATGTTTTCAATTACACAACTTCCGAGAAGTGGGTCAGTGCAGTTGCTATTAGCAACGATGACCTGTAAGTAACTTTTGCAGATAAATTTGGTGTTGTTTGGTTTGTCACTTTGCGGGAAGATAGTGCAGAGCAGGTTTCAGTTGATGACAAACCTGTGTCAATTCTTGGTCACTATTGCAGTATCATCACTAGCATGGTCTGAACAAATTCTAAATTCTATATTACCTTGTGCTATGGCTTTGTATGTCCTACATTTATTTTAGTAGTGAATATGCCTATTGGCAAACCCACAAAGTCCGCTACCCTTCAGTTTTATTTGTCGCTCCTTTCATGTCATGTATAACCATACTTTATCATTTGCTTGGGATCGCAGAAGTTTTCACCAGATGGGCGGTTCAATGCTACTGTTGACAGGGACTTCAAAATACGAGTATGGTCCTGTTTGGTTCTCTAGTCCATGGACTAAAGTTTTAGTCCACGAACTAAAAGTGGACTAAAGTGGTGTTTGGTTCCTTGAACTAAAATGGACTAAAGTCATTAAATGATGTGGAAGAAAGACCCTCTTACCCACCCTTTTACCCTTCTCCCCACCAGCCTGCTACCCCTGTTCATGTTTCTGGCGCCACTCTGTTCCCCTCCCCACCCTTCTTCCCCTTCATCCCAATCCTTCCAAAATGTCCACAGATCCAGAGATTAGCGCTTTCTTGGAGAAGATCCCGGCTTTGGGCTAGCAAAGATGGAGTTCCTGGCGTCCATCATCGACACGGTGTTCCGGCCGCTCAAGGACTACGTCGCGCGGACCGTCAGCTACACCATGTCCTGCGGCGACTACATCGACCTGTTGGTCGACGAGATGAGTGAGCTCAAGAGCAAGCGCGATGACGTCCAGCGCATGGTCACCGCCGCCCTCAAGGAGAAGGCCGACTTCCATAAGGTCACCGACGAGCTCGTGCAGCTGCGCTTCGAGGAGGCAGAGGTCCAGATCCCGGTCTCGTCCCCGCACACGCGCCGACGAGCTGGCGACGACGGCCGCGGGGCGGGGCTCCTTGGCGGTGGAGAGGTGGAGCACCGCGGCCAGCACCTCCATCATGCGGCCGAGCGGGCGGGACGGAGGCGGGTAGTAGGGCAGCGGCGGGCACGGCCAGCGGGCGGGACGGAGGCGGGTAGCTAGGAGGGAGGGAGGCCGGCGGCGAGAGGAAGGGCGGCGGGGGGGCGGGCGGGAGGGAGCCGGGTGGGAGAGAGAGAGGGCAATAAATGAGGGGCATGGGTGTCCCCAACACCTTTTAGTCCATTTTAGTCCAGATTTGTGGACTAAAGGAAGTCCACTTTTAGTCCAAGTGTTTGGCTGTTTAGTCCAACTAAAGTGCAAATTTTAGTCCAAAATGCTTTAGTCCATGGGAACCAAACACCCCCTATGTCTTCTATTCTTCGCACTGATTGGCAGCTGCATCAATGGAGCATAAATTTGGACTTATTCTCTTATTGTGTTGCAATTAATTTTGTAGGTCAAACCATTTAATCTCACTTGAGACAACTTTCTTGATTACGTGATAGTGCTGAAATTTATAGGAATTGAACAATTAGTAACTAAAACTAACAATAAATTACAGTACAGTACAATCTCTAGCAGTGATGGCCGGCGCGGTGGGTGATCTGGCAATGGGGTGTTCCGCGTGCGTCTATCGGCATATGGTTTGTTGTGGCCCGTCAGAGAAGGTATCTGTCGCGGCATCTTGGCTAGTTGCATGAGAAAAACGAAGAAGAGTAAAGTCATCATTGCGTACAAAGAGAATTGTGATCGTCCTTGTGCGGGCGGGCGGCGCCTTGGCCTAAATGCCAGCAAATGGTGAGACAGCATCGGCATCATGAACGCTAGCAAACGAGTGGTCTGCTTCTGCCACCCGTTTACTTTTTGTCAAAGCCTAAGCTGCTATACATATATAGTAATACATACATGTATATATACATAGCGCATACCGGTGGGCCCCTTAGCGTTTAGGGCCCAGGGCGCCTGCACCACTTGGCGCACGCCCTGCCCCAGGGCCGGGCCTGTGGGGCTTTTGCATGATGCCATCTCACAGTATCTATTTGTTTTGTGTGGTATCTTAAACAGTTTCAAGCCCTGTCAGATCAATTTTACCACACTTCTGAACATCACAGGTTTGTTTGGCAACAAGTGCTGAAGCAGGTTAATATTTTCGAAAAGACTAGGTTTGTTTCAGCCATGGTGCTGTTCGGCTGATGGTTTCTGCGGCTGATAAGCCGGCTGAAGCTGATTTGTTGTGAGAGAAAAATATTGTACCATGGCATCACAGTTGCTGCTCATGTAATTGGTTGATCCTTCTGTCCAATGTTCCTGTTGTTTCAAGTATCTTTTACAATTTGGTTTCTTCTGCTAGCATGCTGTCTCTGTTATGTGTTTGCAAGCTGATTGGTCGTACATTGTCAGAATTGCACTGCATGGCTGGTGCCTAGTATGAGAACTAGGAGTATATTAGAATTTCTTTCATCGGAGAACAAACTTTTCAAAGGAGTCTGTCTGTCTTGTTTATTTTTCTGGGACTGGGATCGTAGTGTGCTACTGCCTACTGATCCCTTTTGATTGTATATATATCATATGAAACTCAAGTGCCTGAACTGGCTTTTGCAGTACAGTGTAAAGATTTTCATTCTGACATCATTCAGAGATACATGTTACATTGAGATTCTTCCTGTTTTTGAGAAATCCAGAAGAGTTAGTGTTTATTTTCCAAATCGAATGTTATCGAGTTTGTATACTAGATTCAACAAATATTTTACGGACTTCACAGTGAAACTTAGCTGGCTGCCCTCACATCAAAATTGAGTATTGTATGCCTTAGTAAAGCTTTTTTTTTTCTTGGACATATTTCTGCATGGTTGTTTTTGTTGATGGGCAGAAGTGAGCGTGCTTTGGCTATCTAAAGTCTTGTTGTTACAGTTATATGATTGAGTTTTTGGGCTGAGGTGCTCTACAACTCCAGATATCCAGCACCATTTAGTATTTTTTTAATCATGTTTGTTGAGTGGTTGATTTCGTTATTATCTGTTGCTGCAGAGTTGCCGGTTTTGGAGAACAAAAAGAAAAGCTGGTGGCCCTTCTAGCTTAGCCTCCCCAGGACCAGGAAGAAGATTAGAGCAGCTAACAGACAGTCAGCCTGTTCGGGAGGCCGTATCGTATCGTGGATTATTTACTGCTGGCTGATTTGGTGTGAGAGAAAAACACTATTTCCGGCTGAAAATTTATGATCGTTTACGAGCAAGCGAACAGGCTGGCCTTTCTGTTGGGTTATGTGACTGACTAGCATGTAATGGAAGACTTGAATTTTAGTCTACGTTGAACCTTTAGTTTAAATTTCTATATATGGAAAATTGCATTTGCGTTTCGACATGGTTAATTATCTCATGTGTTACCATGAGTTTCTTTTTTTAAAAATAACTAGCAATGTATTAATAAAATCAAGAACAGTTTACATGAAGGAGTTCAAAATGCTCCCAGGCTGCAGCTAGCATGGAAGATCTAACTGGACAGTGATTGCTATGCGAAGGGTGAGAGCATGAGAAGCTGAGTCTAGATGAAGCCTCATTCGCTTCGCTGAAAAAATAAGTCGAAACATTGTTCTGGCTAATTTGTTGTAAGAGGAAAAATATTGTTCCGACTGGAAAAAAAAAAACAAGCTGAAAAGTATGGATTATGGTCCTGTTCACTGGGAGGAATTTAGATAAATCTAAAGAAATTTGTGAAAGGGTGAACAGTATTTTTTATCCACGTACAATGAAATCCGGCTGGTTGAAAAAGATAAGCGAGCAGGGCCGAAGAAGATAACCTCGCCTGGGTGGCAAGACCGTGTCCTGCGTATTTTGAGTACGAAATTCACACTTTAGAGAATTTATTTTGAACAAGAATTTGTTGCAATGTTTTCAATTGCAGAACTTCGGAGAAGAGGGTCACGATGACCTGAATGTAACTTTTGCAGATAAATTCGGTGTTATTTGGTTAGTCACTCTTCTGCGGGAACCACAACCGCAATCTGCATCCCAGAACCTCTCCGAACCGATATACATGCAGACACAGCACACAAGTTCCTGCACTGTGCAAGCTGACAGATAGGACGCGAGTACGTGACAACAGGACACGAGATATCCACTGGGGAAGGCGTTTCCCACGGCCATACATGGCCCTGTTCATTGGGTCGTAAACGATCGTAGATTTTCAGTCAGAATAGTATGTTTTTCTCACACCAAACATGATTAGGTATTGAACTTTTTTTCTCTCTTGGAAACTCATTTGTAGAAAAAATTTTCTTTTGGATCTGGTTATCGGAGAAAATGCTGAATAGGTATTGAACTTTTTAACTATAGCGTTATCAAAGAATAAATAGGTCTTGTATTTTTGTGTCGTCGTTGGTGATAGCCTATGTGCTTTCACGACGAGGGAGTGGGGGACCGGACGCGGACGCGGACAACTTGTTGGCGCGCTGCGTGTAGGCAGCCTCGGTTCATCGCAGAGTTCTGTCGGCTAGTCACGTCCAGTCACTGTGCACCGTATTCATTCAGAGTCAGCCAAGGCATCCTGACGGAACGCCCGGCGCCGGTGACGTGCCAGAGACAGGCGGAGATCATCAACAGCTGCAGATGCTGCCAATTACCCGGCGTACGTGAGATGAGAGAATGCATGACACAGGCACGACCGTTCCGGTGGTGCGGGGGCTACCTCTTGCAGCCGCTCGGCCAAGCATCTGTCACAGTGAGTGAGTGACCCCCCGGCACCTGGACTTGGCCGTGTCCCCGATCGGCGACGAGACCCGACGTCCCGACCCGACGCCAGGGGCGATGATGCCGATCGCTAGCTAGCTTCAAGGATGGGCTAAGCGTATGAGCACCGCGTCCATGGATATGGATGCAGCATTGCAGCGCCATGTCACCTGATCGATACATGCGAGGCGAGGCGAAGCCGACTAGAGAGAGATACGATACGATGTATCCTCCTCTTCCTCTCGTAGCAAATCGATTAATTGCTGCACACAGCATCACTAGAGTGGACATCATCGCCCACTGCAGGATCATATCGCGGGTTCGGTGAGACAAGTACGTGATGAGTCCATCGATCTAACTCGATAACTCTCTTCTGTCTCTAGACCGATACAATGAATCGAGCAACTAGCCCTACGCGGCTACGCAAGATGGGGCACGGCGGAGGTCGTGTACAACAGCAATAGTATAAGGATGTGAACTGAGCTTAGCTCAGTTGGTTAGGTTTCTTGTGATGGATGCTCATCCAGATTTAAGTCTTTGACTTGGAATCGGTGCTCGTATTTTTCTGAATTTATTACAGGATTTAATGGCGTTGTGCTTTCGGTGGTAGGCGATGTACCCGTCATCAGCGAGACGCCTATGGTGATTTCGCCAATCTCTAACACAGTCTTTCAGAGATGCTTATAGGATAGAGTTTGCGTATTTGTAATTCAAAAAAAAACAGTACAAGGATAAAGGGTTTGGTGAACTGTTGCAACCAACCTGCACTGTCTATACTATAGCATCTGCTGCCAAGTGTCAGCCGACAAATGGTGCCCGTGGCCGCATCTCGCCATCGCCGGCCGGCCGGTCCGCTGCTCATCATCGTCGTGCCCGGCCGGTTCAGGGCATCGGACCTTGGTCGCATCTACGAGTCGCGATCTGATATCCATGGGTTGTCTGTGCTGTCCTGTCCTCCCTGCAGCGCTAGGTGCCATTGCCAGCTACACGGTATAGCATTTTTTTTCGGTATAGCATTTGTTGGCCATACTGAAGTACATACTGATAGCTCAGCATGTGTATAGCCGGCCGGCGCGGCGATGATGCTTCATTGCTGCTGCAGCAGACTTTTAATTTGCATGCACGCATGCTTGATCAATTCCAATTGAAGATACGTCGGCCAAACTTTTTCAAAAGTTTGTAGTACGTTTGATGAGCTAGATTCCACCGCCAAATGCCCTTTTGGACAAGCAAGCAAGCAAGGGCATGCATGGGAGAACATTTCAGCACCCAGAAGCTGGCCCGGCCCTTTTCCTGCGAACAAGGGCAGCGACCACATAATTCCAGTCATACTTTGACCAGAAGTTATTAGCTAGACTAGAGATCGACTTTCACCGCATTCAGCTGGTATAGTTTCAGCTTGTTTCAGCTTATTCTCTCTCACAGAATACTATTCAATCATCAAAAAAATCCAAAAAACACTGTTCAGGTGACCCTCCGAACGAGCTGTTTGACAAAGTGCTATCATGTACAATAGCCATGCATGCGTGGCCAATGAATCATAATGACACGATTATGATCATATAGCGGAGCTCAGCAATGGTGGTTCCGGAACCATTTCGACTTGCGCCTGAACCTACCGCCAGTGTGAAAGGCTAGTGAAAATCGGAAGACTAAATACGACTAGCAGCAGGTACTCTTACTCCTATACGAAACAGTCTGGGTGTGTTTCTCTGTTCCCTGTTGGTGAGGGCACGATCCGGCAGCCTATCCTGTGCGTACGACTCTCATCTGCTACGCACAGTAGTACTTACGCTACGTGAGAATAGTTGCGAGAGTGAGAAAATGGCCAGCCATGCATTTCATCTATAAATGTCCATGCAGCCCGAGGCACGGCGGCCCGACACGAAGCACGCAAATTTTTGCCCGGACCAAGCACGGCACGGCCCGATGGTCAACGGGCCCGGGCTGGCCCGGCCCAAGGGAGCAGGCCGTGCCTGGGCCTTACCCTAGGCAACGGCACGGCCCGGTAGCGGCCCGGCCAGCCGGCCTGCTCAGCCCCTGCCACCACCCCCAACTCTCCCAGTGCCCCACCGGCCCACTCCCAGAACCCTAACTCCCTTTCCCTTCCACTCCCCCCACGCAGACGCAGTCCCTCCCCACGCCGCAGCCGCAGTGTCGCACTCGCTCCTCCTCCTCATCTCTGCGCCGGCGCCACGGACGCCCCCTCCCCTTCCCTCGCGTCGGGCGAGGCGAGAGCGGACACGGGACCGGGATTCCAGGATGCCTCCTCCCTCTCCTCGGCGTCCTTGGCTCCTCGCGCGACCTCTCCTCTCCTCGCAGCGCCGACGGCCGAGCGCGGACGGCGACGCCCCCTGCCCCTCCCTCTCCTCGAGCGACGCCCCTGCGGGAGCGAGCGCGTCGGCCCCGAGCTCCGCCCCAACGCAGATCCGGTGCCAATACAAGCTCGCCGGCGGGCGGCGGCCACTGCCATCTCTGGCCTCGCGCGGCCTCCTTCCTCGATCCCGCCTCCACCAGATTTGCAATGCCCGTCGTCCTCCTCACCATCCCTTGCCTCGACGCTGGCGCGGCGCCTCCTCCCCGCCCCTGCCTCCCTCACTCTCCCTCGGCGGCGCGCGGCTAGGAGCGCGCGGCCGGGTAGATCCGGCGACTCCCTCCCTTCCTTGTTTTCTCTCCTCTCCATCTCGCTCACCCCCTCTTCATCTCCTCTCCATCGCTTGAGGGAGGGCGCCGCCTGCGCAACTCCTGCCCCCGAGATCCGGAGCTCCACCACTCCTAGCCCCGACAGCCACCTCCTCCTCGCCTCCTCACGCGGCCGCGGCGCTCGTGCCGGCCTCGAGCACACCGGCAGCCGCCCTCCTCCCCCAAGGCCTCCGCGCGGTGGCTGGCCTCGAGCCCCCGCCGCTCCTCCACGACCCCTGCGTCCCGACGACCCAGCCTGCTCCCGGCGACCCGGCTACCCTCTCCTCCCTCCTCTCTCTCTCTCTCTGTGTCGCCGTGTCGGCACTCAGTGGGCCTCGGGTTGGCACGGCCTGTGAAAATGGTCGTGCTTCTCGGGCCAGCCCGGCACGGAAATCGGCCCATAGGACCGTGCCTGGGCCGAAGGCCAGGCCTGTGGCCATGTGAGGCACGGCTCGGGAGGCAGGCCTATGCCGTGCCCGCCCGTTGGCCATCTTTAATTTCATCACCTGATCCTGATGGCGCCCTTCCATGTGCCAAAAAAAATGCCGTCTTTTTCCGGCGAAAACAATACGGTTAATTGCGCCGGTCGCCGGACAGCGACGGGTGCCATGCAAGCGTCGGCGTCAGGCGCTGTAGCAGAGCCGCCCCTCCCTCTTCTCCTTCCCCGGAAGGCCGGCCAACACCATATAAACACGTCAAGGTAGCCAGCCCAAGCGGAGAAGCACCACAGCTAGCGCATAGCTCCACTTCGCAAGCAAGAACATCTCGATCGAGCGACTCTAATTAATTTGCTGCCGATTCGATCTTTAGTTCTCGGATATCTTTGATCCTCGCACCTCGCAAGCAAGAACATCGATACGTCGTCATACGTGGGCTGTGGCCATGGAGGTGGAGGCGGTCAGCTGCGAGTGCTGCGGCCTGGAGGAGGAGTGCACGGGCGAGTACATCGGCGGCGTGCGGGGCTACTTCGGGGGCAGGTGGCTGTGCGGGCTGTGCTCGGAGGCCGTCAAGTACGAGGCCGGCAAGTGCGCCCGGGGAGCCGGCGCCGTGCCGCCCGACGTGGAGGAGGCCGTGCGCGCGCACATGGCCATCTGCCGGACGCTCAAGAGCCGCGGCGGGCCCGCGGGCCGCGTCGCCGAGGGCATGCGCCAGATGCTGCGCACCGCGTCCTGGAAGAAGGCCGCGTCGTCGTCGTCCGCCGCGTCGCCCAGGGGCCAGGGACACCACCGCTCCTCCGCCTCGCCGGTGTCCGTCGGCCTCTGATGTGCATGATCGTGCTGCGGGCCGGGGCCAAGGCGACGGCGCTGCATGCGCTTGGGTCTCTTTGACTGAGGTGTGCACCCAGGCTTCGCGTTCCTTTCGTCTCCTCGATCGACAACTTGCTACGCGCCCTAGGACACTGGTACCGGCGTTCTTGAGTCTTGACTACTAGCTAGACCGCCGTGGGTCTTCGCAGCTTCTCTATGTAAGTTTTATTTTTGATCCAGTATGTACATATATGTAAGGATCGGACCACCAATCAAGCCTTTGATATGATGGCTTAGTTTGATCAATTGAGAAATCAAAAGGCGTTTATGCATCTGATATATCAAACGAACTGGTGGTTCTTGGTTTCGAATAAGCTAGGAATTAAACTCGAGCACCGCCGTCTTCTCCGGCGACGACGATGCGATCTTTAGAACGCGCGCGATTTTCCGTGAGACTCTCTTCGGACGGCGGCGCCGAACAGTGAGCGCCGCTGCCGACCTGCCGTAGCGCAGCCGATCCGCTCCGATCGGGCGTTCTGGAATCTGGATGGTAGGCTGGACTGCTGGTAGCCATGGCATACGTGCGACGTCGTGAGCACGTTTTTCCCCAGGAATCACACTCTTTGCCTTACACCCCCACTCGTGTTGCGGCACCACCAAGAATCCGCAAGACAGCGGACAAGCACATGCTTCCTGAACCTCGGCCGTTGGATCACGACCTAGCGGCCCGTATCGGCGCTTGGATGCTTGGGCTCCTGCTCCGGTGCTGTCTCTGTCGCTCTCATGGCCGCTTCCTGCCTACCTCCTCGTCTGAATGCAACGTGCTTCGTTCCTTTTGCGGACTTTCTTCCACGATTTCTGCACTGCTCAACAACATATCATCTCTATTGATTTGAGCAGAATCTCTTCCTCGCTCGTACGTCACCCGGGAATCTGTCCACGATAGAGATCGCGTTTGGCTTCTTCGTTCGTGAGAATTTCATCGGTTGTTTTCAGAGTTCTCGCTCTCAGCGCACATGCAGAAATATATGTGATCCCTCGTTCTCGGAGGGGCGTAGAGACACGCACGCATATATAGAGCCATAGACTGAGATCCCAATCTCTTTCTTTTTTTCCATTTTTTATGCTCCTGGATCTTTTTGAAAGAAATTGAAATTCCACAGGTTTATCCTCAACTAGCGGTTCTCAACCACCGCCAGTCCGCGCGCGGCCATGACACCTCACCCATGCATCTCCATTGTTTGGAAAATGAAATAGCTAGACGACGTACTAGGGACAACATATTGCTATGAGTGGCAACTGTTTTCCTACACCTGGCTAGCCATGGACTAGACAAGGAAAGGTAGCCATATTTTCATGGGAAAAATATGCCTTGGTCATGTCTAAGAGAACGTCTGAACATACTTTTTGCGACGGGTTGCTGTTTGTTAATCAACCCAGTTGATGGAGTGGGAGTGGTATGGGCAATTGATTATGACTCACACTACGACATAAAAGCATATTAGTGACAGTCAAGACTGATATTAACAACGAGGAAACTAAGCGCTCTCTAAATTTACGTCTTGACGTCGACAACGTGACTGTGCTGCTTCTGAATTTGACCATACACTTGGGACCAACACTGTGCTGGTTCTGAATTCCTGCACTTCACACCACTGTAGCGCTATCTATTACTCTACCACCGTCTGAACTCATCATCGGATAAATGTGTGGATTTCCAAAAGGCTGATCAGGTTCCGAGGTGATAATGTGTGTGCGGCAAGCCTGTCTGATCCTGAAGACTCAAGGCATGCTTTTCTGTAATAGCCTGAAGAAAGTGCACGCATGCTTTTGAGTTTTGACGGCTCCCCAGTACTTAATGATCATACCTCAGGCATACCCTCCTGATCGAGCCTACAATGTTCTTTGACAAGATGCTGCAGCACTCACAAAAATAATAAGTACCAGCTAGTGTTACCTTTACTTGGAAAAGCCAGCCTCCAAGCGCCTGTAATTGGCGATACGAAACAGACTGTCTGAAGAATCGGCATGACTTATCGCTGCTACGGCTGATTTGTAGGGCTGATTTGTTATGAGAGAAAACACTATTCTATAGTTAAAAAAGTAGGACTGATTCTGACTTATAAGCGCAAGCGAACCGAGCCTATATGTAGCCTGCAATAGCAAGCGTAGCAGAATTAGATAATGGAGCTGAAAGGAGTGCAGACAGTGAGCAGGTCGCGGTCGTGCACACGTAACACGTCGACATTTTTTTAGCCCGAACCATTTCCTGAGTCTTGAGTCATCGCTTCCTTCAGAGCAAAGTATGTGACTATTATGTGATCCGATCCCAGTCAAGCTGATGCATAGCAAAAGCTGCACCGTGCCTCACTGACAGCAACAGAAGACTCAGCCTGTTCGGCTGGGCTGGCTGGCTGGCTGGTGCTGACCAGCCCTCTCACGCAGGCACTGTTTATATGAACCGTGCCTTTCAGACAGAATAGTATTTTTCTCTTATATCAAATCAGCTAGTAGTAATAATCCATGATCCAGCCAGCAGTACCGAACAGGCTGCTTGTTTGGGAAGCCACATTATTACAAAGGAATGCAGAAGCTTCCGATGTGATGGAGCGAACCAAACCGATGCTCCAAAGATTAAGAAAACCAGGGATTATCTCCGCTGACAGCCCGACACTTGCTTCGTAACCTAGGAGCCGGCGCTTTGGCACGGGACGGAGGAGAGATCTTAGGATATTGGGCTGACAATGACATGCCGTGGTCGGCGTCACCCTCCCTCAAGTCATCTGGAGCGCCACACGTACGTGCGGGTGCAGGTAGCCAGACGCGGTCCGCCGCCCAGGCGCTGTTCAGTTCTGTTCTGTTCAATCCGGTGCGCCGCGACGTCACTGAGGCACGGTGGAAGACACAAGGGCCGGGGGCCAGCTCGTGTCCCATGCGATGCGAGGCCTCTATGGCCCTGGTCGCGTGCACATCGCCGAGCGGCCGAGGGACGGGTCTGGACAACCAGCCGGTCGCGCGTGCTCCGCTTCGGCGCACACGTGCGGACGCGCAGACACACGCAGGCAGATCATGTTTTGCCTGCCTAGCTAGCTAGAGAGCCTGCGCGGCTGCACGCGCGCGTCCAGAGCCGACGCGTGTGCCTTGTCGCGTTCGCGGCCCGTTACCGTCGTGCCGTCGCAGACTGTGGGAAGCGTCCGCCCGCTGTGCGCACGTCGCGCTCGGTACATTTTAGATTTTTCACCGGTAGATGAACGTGATTGGAGTCTGAGCAACCATGCTCTTCTAATCAACGTGCCGTTTGAATATTGGGAAATGTAGAGTAGGATAGAGAAATAAAGGATGGGATAGATTTGATCCCATGATTAGATAATGGGGAATGAATAGGAGTAGGGAAATAAAGACTAGCATGCCCATTCCATACCTCTTCATGTTATTCCAATACATTTCCCATTTCCTATCACAATCCCAATCCAAACTAGCCCCAAGTGGTTGTTTCTGCTTATAATCATCCGCGCACAGAGAAATTTTTATTCTTAATTCTTAATTGTGCTAGTTTAAAGTTTTAAAGTGGAGATCAGAAAAATAAAAAATACTCGAAGTGTTTTGTGAGAGTCTCACGTTTTTTTCTCTGAGAGTTTTGATTATATAAACATAAAACAAACGGTAATGTTGTGGGTAAGACGTCTGATCATTCGGACACCCACGTTGGTGGACTGTCGACGAAATATAGTCGGCAGTCTACCGAGGGGTATGTCCATGGTAGTAGATGAATCGGTGGAGGTGCGCAAGATACGAACTAGATGGTAATACAAGCACAGAGACGCAAGATTTAGACAGGTTCGGCACTCAGTATGACGTAATACCTACATCATGTGTTTCGATGTATTGCACTGAGATATGTGTAGATGCCCACTAGGGGACCCCTGCCTCTCTTTATATGCTCTGGAGGGGTAGGGTTACAAGAAAAATATTCTATTTGGTATTATACAATAAATCACATTTTCTTGTAGCATTGCGGTGCACGCCTTGATCTTGTGGGCTGGGCCACCTTTGGGTGCGGCCCATGTCTTGTCCTGTGGGTATCGGGGGTATATCCCCCACATGGACCTTGCCCACCCGAACGGCCCATTATCAATGGCACAGTCGCTTGTGTTGCTAAAACAATAAAAAAAATCTATGCTCACTTCCTCTCGAGACGTTGTGGCCGCACCTATTCTTGAATCGCCGTTGCGCCTGCACTCCGCCTCACTGCTGTCGTCTTTCCCTACCGTCAGCTCCCTCCCACGACGCGCACGCCCGCCCACGCCGCTGGCTCCCCATTCCTAGGCCGTGCTCCGTCCTGCGCCGCGCCGCGCATCATCTCCTCCCCCACACACATACGCTACCGTGTCCGTCCCCCCACCCGTCGCAGCCCGGGCGGACGACTCCCATGGGGTACGTGTCGTTGGCGGCGGCGAGGGTGCTAGAGCAGCCCACGGCGTCGGGGGTGGCCTAGGAGACGGCGCTCCTCGGCCCCCTGCTCGGTTGGGCCTCGCGGTTCACCACCACAGCACCTCCGCCAGGGTGGCCTCCATCCGCTCCCTGTCCTCCTCGCCGATCTACCGCAGTTCACCACCAGGTAGGTCATGGCCGCACGACGATGCTATGTTTCAAGTGTTTCTGGATGTTTTTCCAACATGTTGCAAGCCTATGTCAAATGTTTTAGTTGTTTCAAATGTATGTTTCAATTGTTTTCATGCGGATGTTGTAAAAGTGGATTGGGACGTTGCAGTAGTTGTGCATGTATGTTGCAAGCGTCTATCCCAATGTTTCATCTATGTCTTGCACACGTATGTTACAAGTGTTTCAGACGCATATCTCAAGTGTTTCATCTGTGGGTTTTTTATGTTTCAAGTATTGCATCTGAATGTTTCAAAAGTAAATCGAGATGTTGCACATGTTGTAATGGTGTTTCAACTATATGTCACCAATATTTCATCTGTTTTAGACGTATGTTGCAAAGGTTTTATTTGGATATTGCAAAAGTGGATCTGGTGTTTGAATGTTGTAATTGGATGTTACAAAAATAGATCTGATATTTAAATGTTGTAGTCGGACCTACCTGCTTTTGCAGCTGCTAGGCTCGCGTGAATGCTCGAGGGAGCGGAGGGGCGTGAGCGGCAGTCGTGGGAAATGAGAGCGACGCAGATCGAAACACGGCCCACGTGGGCACGCGCATGCGCGAGAAACTAAGCGACGTGGGCCTCCACGTGAAGTTGGCGCAGACGTACGGGCGGGTGTGTGAGCAGGTGCAGTTGGCGCGAGTGCCCGGGATCGGACGTCCGGGCCCTCCTTAAAACAAGGAAGAAGTCCACTTTACCTCCCTCATCTTTTGCGATAGTCAGCTTTGCGTCCCTGATCCCGAAAACCAGAGAAACGACCTCCCTCATCTATCCAAACCATGCACATGACCCCTAGTCCTGGTTTCAGCTGTGATTTCGGCTTTGTTGGCGCCACAGTGGATATGGGCCAAGCTGACTCAGCCCCAGGCTAAATAGAAAGGAAGAGGTCCCGTGAGCCAAAAAAAATCCCCCCAAATTACAACCTTAGCTCGCACACAGGCGGCCTTGTTCGTCCACGCCGGAGACGACGCCCACGCCGGCAAACGGAGAAGGGGAGCAGCGGCGAGGCGGTGGGATCTGGGCGCTGGTCGGGCGCAGGGCGCAGCGCGCAGGCAGGAGCATCCCGGGCGGGCCCTTGCTCACGCACCCTAGCCACCCCGCCGCTGACGCTAGTTCTTCCTTGCCTCCGGCACCTGCTCGCCGCCGTCTCCCATGGACCCTAGCACGTCGCGTGTTCTCCTGCCGCAGCCAGTTTTCACGGGAGAGCCACCGCTAGGAGAGAGTGGGCTGTCGCTGATCTGGTGTCCTTACTGCGGCATGGGGAGGATTTTAGAGCTGTTGTCAAAATCAGACAAGCACTCAATGGAAAGGTTCTTCAAATGCCCGAGGAAGTACAAGAAGGTTTGGTTTCCTTATTGAAATTGCCGATGGTAATTGAAATTTAGGGTTTCTGATTTATTCTGTTGGTTTGGCATTGCAGTTTCCTCTTTGTAATTTCTACATGTTCGAAGAAGAATATGCCAACTTTCTTGTTAATTATGGGATGCTTCCAAAATCTGAGATGTGTCATTACCATCCATTGGAGATGACAGATGATAGTGTGCAAGCTGAGATGTATGAACAGGTGATGAAGAAAGAAGCTGCTAGTGTGTATGAGCACATGAGGACTATAGCTTCGACCAAGAAGGGAGGCAAGAAGAAGCAAAGACATTTGAATTGGATGATGTGTATTGGTGTTGTTGTCCTAGTGTTGTTAGGTTTCAATTCTGCCATTCTCCTTGTGTTGGTTGTGATACAAATGTATAAGTAGTCAATGTTTGCCGGCATCGGCAGGATGTTACCCTTTGTAATGGCATGAATCAAATTCTCTTCTTTTTTTTGCCAACAAGCTGTCTCCTGTCGTGCTAGAAAAGAAACAAAGCAATACATGCTGAATCTTATATTTGCACTATGCAGGAACCAATGCATACACCATAATAATGTCAGATAACATAGGCAAATAATTGCACTATGCAGGAACCATACAGATAACATAGGCATGTACTCACAGATAACACAACACTGACGAATGGATAAAAGTGCAAATGATTGTCATACATGGCATAAGTAGCAAATAGATAAAAGCCAGATGTTTGGCATAACACATAGTTTGGCATACATAAAAGGTAATCAACCACAGAACTTAAGTTTCCTGCCTACGTAATTATTCAAGTTTGGCATATGACCAGCAGAGATCATACACATCACTGACCTATCAGATTGCCATGGAGGAAGCATTTGGAGTGGAGCAATTCCATTGCTTTTGGAGCGAGCTTGGGCTTCTTCTTGGCGGTTCTTGAGGTGACACGATCCACAGATGCTTGATCCCTTGATTAAGCGTACATGCACACTAGAATTAACATTGAAGTGGACACTCTAGCTTGCGGTGTTTATTGTAGGTGACCCGGAAGGAATTGTTGAAACCCTTGCACGTGCACTTGATTTGACGATGTTCTGTGAGTTTGTTGTCTTTGCCTACATAAGTCAGATGAAGCAAGATGTACATGATGTTCGAAGAATGAATTTAAAATACAAGATGCATAAGTTAAAACTTTGAGATATAGGTAAACTTACCTTTTTGTTGCTCTGTGCGATAGATACATCATTTGTGGAACTCCTTTTTGTACCGCTTATCTTTGCTCTTTTGTGTGTGTGGACAGCAGAACAATAGCATTTTAGTTACTTCAAAGCAATTGGCCCGAGATCCTGTTTATCGTGATCTTGCAAATGACTCATTTCCTTTTGGCTGTGAGCTACCTCTGGCTGACTGAGATCCTCCTGCCTGTGAACTTCCTGCTCCACTTATATTGGTACATGTTGTCCTGTTGTGCCCAGGCAAGTGGCATTTGCTACATTTAATAACAGTTCCAGTTTTTAGCATTTTAGTGGCCTTTCTAACTTATGTGGGCTCCCTTCTCCTCTCAGTCTTTGGCCTACCTGGCATCTTCACATAACCAGGAGCTCTAAGGGGTACCCTATCAGATGAGGGCCAGCTATTCATACCCTCAACTGGATTCAAGCAATGGTTGTATGTTTGTTTGAAATGGTACACAAAGTAGCAGTCGGCCACATATTCATCTAGGCAGTTGGTCTTGAACAAAATACAAGAAATGGCATGGCAACATGGAAGTCCAGACAATTGCCAATACCTACATGAACATGTCTTTGATACCAAATCCACTGTGAACCCATTGTCGTAATGCTTAACTTCATATTTCTCTTCCCCATTGCAGATGGCATGGCAGTGTGCAGACAAAGATATATAGACATTTAATTTTTTATTGATGTTTGGGCATATAACACTTGTCCACTTTCCTAATTTAGTTCTCTGTTCTTGATCCTCACCATTACTTTCCTTCTAATTGTTTCTAGCATGGTGATTATTGGGAAGAACCTAGCCTCAATGATCCATTTGTTGAATGACTCACAAATATTATTATCTACTGAGTCACAGTTAGAGCCCAACCTGAACCAAGCTCTGCTCCAATGCTGTGGATGAGTGTTCAGAATAGCTTGTGCCCCTTCTCTGGTTTTTTGTGCTAGTCTCGCTCTTGCCAAGTTGAAAAGCATAAGGCAAGGTGCTTTAGCACACATCCAAAACCTTTTCTGGTAGTCCTTCATGGGAAACTCCTTCTTCCAGTTGGCATAAATGTGCCTAGCATAGTTTCTATGTTAAACACGGTGCCCATTTGTTAATTTGCATTAAGAATTCCCTGCACAAGTTGGAAAAATTATAAAGCATCTACCATCACATGTTTAGAATTGTGAAAACAACAAAAAGGATACATCTGGTTACCTTTTGTTGGTCTGAGATGAAAACCCATTCCTTTCCTCCATGCACACCAACATCCCTAAAGAGCAGACCACAGAACCAATCCCAATTTTCATTGTTCTCCTTGTCCACAACAGCCCAAGCAATAGGATACATCTGGTTATTAGCATCCCTCCCAACAGCACAAAGAAGTTCACCATTAGTTGCTCCTTTGAAGAAACAACCATCTAACCCAACAACCTTCCTGCAACCAGCTTTGAACCCTTCTTTACAAGCATGCAGACATATGTACATTCTTCTAAAAATAGGAGGCTCTACATTATCTTCCTTGTTAACAATAATGATTGCTTCTGGGTTGCTTCGAGAAGCTCCATCTGTAGTAGTCATATAGCCTAGAGTCACGCCTTTACTTGCATCCAATGCTTTCTTCATCACTAGTGCTTTTGCTCTCTTTAGCTTGGACATAGAAACTTTGGCAAACATTTCTTCTTGAACTGTCTGCAACATATGCCCAAGTTTCCAGCATGGGTTGGCAAAAATGAACTTCTCATATTTTTTAGCAATTACAGTTGAGGTGACTAGTTTGTTGTCTCTTCTTGGTGGACACATGTGATTATTTACAAATGTAGATATCTGCCAGCTATCAGACCTAGAAGTATTTGACAACAAACACACCCATGGACAACCTTTCCAGTCACATTTGGCCCTCACCCTCTTTGGATCATCCTTAGCAAAGACAATAACCTTTCTCTCATCCAGGCCATGTTTAATTACAGCCTTCTTGAATTGCTTCTTAGAACTAAACTTCATTCCCAACTTAAAATTGACAATAGGATTCTTCTTGTTAAATCTTGGATGCATGCTACCTTGCCCTTCATCAACAGATTCTCGCATCAAGATCTTGTCTACATATGGAGTGCGATTGCCATCATCCTCATCATCTTGCCCAGTTCAGGCCTAGATGCAACACCCTCATATATCACATCATCTAAGCTTGTTGCCTCACCCTCTTGAACTTCTTCTTGAAATCCTTAAATCTCCTATGTATTTGCTCTGCTTCTTCATCATCACGAGGCTGCATGAGTCTCTAGGCATGTACTCTTTGTCGGTGTCGGACTTCTCTTCTACATCGATTGTGGACTTCTCTTCATCATCACCTCTCATTGCTCTCTCGGGCATGTGCTTTGCTTGTTCTTTCCCTTTACTTGGACTCATGTAAAATTCTCTAACAAGGGCAACTTGCTTCTCTACTTCTTCTTTGCTTTCATATTTTCTCCAAATGTACCAAAGGATGCAGATCTTCATCTTCTATGTCATCATCCTCCTGAGCGACTTCCATCTCTCCCTCATACTCACTTGCTTCAGCTATTGCATCCAGTAGCGTGATTTTCAACGAACACATCGGCAACACCATCTTGATGAGTGTTGTCGGACATATCTTGGCACACTTTGTCATCAACCAGAGCTCTTAGGCCTGTACTCATGTTTGTCCCTGGAAATAGCCAATGCAACATTGTGCCTTCTTTGACATTGCAATGGTCACGGAGATGACCAACAACTTCAGGCAGTGACATCTTATCTCGGTCTATAAAAGACATAGCTTCAGTTCCTCTATCATAAAACAGTCTATCGCTTTTCCTCACGAACTCCCCATTAAAATGGAATCGAACAGGGAGCAAGTCACAACCATCCATTGCTAAGCACCTGAAGCCTACATGCAAAACATACATGCTATGTGGTTCAGTACTGATCAAATCGGTCCAAATATGACTACAAGTGCTACATAAAGGCGCCTGTTGGCCTTAAAATATGACGAACACTATAAAGCAAAGGCTATAATCATAATCAGATGTACCAATCACTAGTTAAATAACACAAATTCCAAGGGAATCAAGGAATCCAAAACAAAAACAACTCAAAACTACACAGATCCATTTGTGCCTTACCGCTCACCACGGTCAAGACAAATCACGCTGCTTCACCTCTGCTTACGGCGCCGGAAAGCGGCAATGCTCTACCTGCGTTGGCGTTCTTGCACTTGGGCTGCCGACCGGCCAGCGCCAGATCCCACCGCCGCCGCTTTGCTCCCCTTCTCCGCTTTTGCGGCGTGGGCGTGCGTCTCCGGCGTTTGGGGGATTTTTTGGCTCACGGACCTCTTCCTTTCTGTTTAGCTTTGAAATTTGAGTCGACAGCCCATATCCACCGTGGCGCCAACAAAGCCGAAATCACAGCTGAAACCAGGACTGGGGGTCATGTGCATGGTTTGGATAGATAAGGGAGGTCGTTTCTCTGGTTTTCGGGATCAGGGACGCAAAGCTGACTATCGCAAAAGATGAGGGAGGTAAAGTGGACTTCCTCCTTAAAACAAAGAACCCTTGTTTCCGGCGGCCATCAACACGTGCAGGGGCCGGGTCGGCTAGAACGATAAAGATCTAAGTGGATCAAAGGCCCAGCTCAATTACTGGGCCACGTTAGCGTCGCTCGCTCGAGTCGGCGGCCCCGTTGGATCCATTAAATCCAACACGCGGGTTCATCCAGTTCCGGACCCGGATCAGATCTGCCGTGCCTAACACCACACACAAGAAAAATGAGAAACCGAGCCGAGTCGACCGTTGCTCCGAAGAAGCCGTTGCGCCGGCACGCCGCTTCAAATTTCGAACCCCTCGTCGGGCCACCGTATAACACCGATCCCAACCCACGAAGCCAACCAACCAGCAGCCGACGAGCCCATGGACGACAGGAGGGAGATGGATCCGGCGGCCACCGCCAGCGGGACGCCCACCGTGTCGCGCGGCTCCAGCATGCCTTCCTCGTGCTCCTCCAACTCCAACACGTCCGCTTCCGCCTCCGTCTCCGCTTCCACGGGGACGCCGCCGTCCGCCGTCGTGCAGTGGGCGGCGCGCGCGGGCGCGGGGGACAGCTGCTACTACCCCGGGTGCCGCAAGGACGCCAACTGCGCCTGCGAGATATGCCTCGCCAGCATCGACGCCACGCGGGAT